CCACAAGCCAGAGGGTGCGGGGGGCCCTGAGGAGTCCAGCACTGGCGGATTCCGTGTTGTGTCGCCGGCTGCGCCAGGCGCCTTTGGGCGCCCCAGCCAGGCCTCACCACTGCTGCTGCAGACGGAGCCACATCCTGCTGTGCGGCGTGTGCCAGCTGTGCAGCGCGACTCGCCCGTCATCGTGCGCAACCCTGACGTGCCACTACCATCCCCCTTTGCCGAGAAGCTGCCCGAGCGCCCCGGCAGCCCCCGCCGTGGCCCACCTGGCCCTCACGACGCGCCCAAGGCCCCGCTGCAGGCGCCTGTGCCCATCAACGCCGGGCGGGGGCTGCCAGCCTGCCCGCCCAGCGGGGCCCCCCCTGCGCCTGAGCCACCCGTGCCTGTCTTCGGCGTCTCCTCACCCTTCCAGCCCGTTGCCTTCCACCCCTCGCCTGCTGCGCTGCTGCCTGTCATCGTGCCAGGCGACTACATTGGCCCCCCAGCTCCCCGCAAGGACATCATCATGGGCCGCCCTGGCACTGGTAAGTACTTGCCGCACGTGAGGGGGGAGGGGCGGTCAGTCAGAATGTAGCTGGGCACCAAAGGGGGGACCCTGTGATACTCATCCTGACGCCCACCATGCTTGTGGTGCCATGGTTGCTGCCTGGGTCTGTGGCTGTCCGTGGCCATGGCTCTGAGTGTTGGTGTTTGGGGATGAGGCCCCAGCCATCTGGGGGTCGAGGGCTCGGGTGGCTGCGGGGCCCAGGCGGGCATTCGCTCAGGTCACGTGGCTGTGTGAGACGTGGCGCGTGCTGGGGCGTCACTTTCTGTGCACTCCTGTGTGTGCAGCTGCGCTTGAGACCACGTGCACATATGTGGAGGCAGTGGTACATGCACCGAGGCATGTGTGTAACACGTGGGCATCTGCATGTTCCCACGCTTCCTGCTGGGTTCCCACCTCTGCATGCCAACCCCCACCCTGCCGCCTGCGCGAGCTTGACACCAGAGCGGCTGTGTAACATGGTTTGCACGCTCACTGCCCCTTGCTCGGCTGCTCTTGCACATGCATAGGTCCTGGTGCATGCACAGTCTTGCACACTTGCTCTGCATGAGCCAGATGGCTCCAGGGATTGGTTCCCCTCCTCCTTTACACAACCTGTGGGCTTGCACGCTCAGGCTTTGCCTCGCACGCTTGTGCAGGGGGCATCTGGGGGCCTTCTGCCTGTGACCCATGCTGTCTGTACACTGGTGCCCCTCGCAGTTCTCGCATGATTGGCGCACAGCTGGGCTGTTGTAGAAGCCAGCCCGGGGTTTGCCAGGCGTATGCCCCAGGACCCTCCTCTCCCTGCAGCCTAGGGGATGCTGTCGCTCGGCAACCCGTCGCCACGACGACCGTCTCCCTGACTCCCCGCACTCCTGGCCCCTACGCTATTTATACTGCCACGCGTGCAAGCCCACGTGCATACCCAGCTCCTCACACACGTGTGGGGGCACCCTCTCCCACACTTGCATAAATGGCAATGTGCTTGCCCGCAGCTCCCCCTTTTTGCACTTGCATGTGGCTGTATGTGACTTGCCAGTGGGGGGGAGGCTGTGTGTGGGCACTTGTGCACAGGTGCTATAGTGTGTTGGCCATATTGCACACCTCCAGGCATGTCCTGGCATGCCTCCAACCCCTCAATGCATGTGCAGGGGGCAGCGTGCCTCCTGGAAGCCCTGGAAGGCTGGGCTGTGCTTGCAGTTTCGTGCTGCAGGAATGTGCATGCTGTGTTTGGGAGGGGGCTGCACCCCCCCCAGG